AAAAAAAAAAAAAAAAAAAGAAAAGAAAAAAGAAACAGTTCATCCTAGGATTAGAGACAAAAAAACTAGAGGGTACTAGAAAATAATGGGAGTGGCAAATAAGATTACATGATTAGGCAACAGAAAGACCTGGTCTTTCTAGGGATGGATGAGAGACGGCCTGGACGAGATGAAGCAAAGTCATTAAAAATATCAAAGAGGCAAAATTCTCTATTAATAATATAGGTTGCACATTCTCTATCTGAAATGTCTGGGGATTAGAGGCGTTTTGGGTTTTATTTATTTATTTTTTTCTTTTAGGCAGAGTCTTGCTCTGTCATCAGGCTGGGGTACAGTGGTATAATCTCGGCTTACTGCAACCTCTGCCTCCCGGGTTCAAGTGATTCTCCTGCCTCAGCCTCCCGAGTACCTGGGACTACAGGCAGGCACCATTATGCCCAACTAATTTTTGTATTTTTATTAAAGACGGGGTTTTGCCATGTTGGCCAGGCTGGCCTCGAACTCCTGACCTCAAGTGATCACCCACCTCAGTCTCCCAAAGTGCTGGGCTTACCAGTGTGAGCCACAGCACCTGGCCAGATATTGTTCTTTTTTCTTTTTTCTTTTTTTTTTTTTGAGACGGAGTCTCGCTCTGTCACCCAGGCTGGAGTGCAGTGGATCTCAGCTCACTGCAAGCTCTGCCTCCCGGGTTTACGCCATTCTCCTGCCTCAGCTTCCCGAGTAGCTGGGACTATAGGCGCCCACCACCACGCCCGGCTAATTTTTTGTATTTGTAGTAGAGACACAGTTTCACCGTGTTAGCCAGGATGGTCTCGATCTCCTGACCTCGTGATCCACCTGCCTTGGCCTTCCAAAGTGCTGGGATTACAGGCGTGAGCCACCACACCCAGCCTGGATATTGTTCTTAACCACATTTGACAGATGAGAACATATGGCTTAGAGAAGTTGAGTAATTTGACTGCGGTTTAAGTGTGACACTATAAATATTCAAAGTTTGTGCCCTAACAATCTCCTATGCCAGCAGTCCTCAAGCTTTTTGGCAGCAGGGACACGTTGCATGGAAGACAATTTTTACATAGATGGGGTGGGGTAGTAGGGGGAGATGGTTTGGGATGAAACTGTTCCACCACTGCTGATCTGACAGGAGGCAGAGCTCAGGTGGTAATGCTCATTCACCCACTGTTTACCTTCTGCTGTACAGCCTGGTTCCTAACAGGCCACAGACTGTTACCAGTCCACAGTCTGGGGGTTGTCCTATGCTGATATAAAATTACTTGGAAGATAAATTCTTCTTTATACCCTAGAACTGTGCAGCAAAAAGTAACAATAAAACCACCCCTTAGAAGGTTGCCTATATCATCACAATGTACCTGGCATGTTTCTGACCTACGGCTCCCCACACAAAAACAACTTGATAAATCAGCATTTCTGTTATACAAGAGAAATAAAATATTCAGTCTCAAAACTCGTATCATTCAGAATTGGTCATCTAAACCCAACTGCAGTTATTGTATTTATTAAATTATTATCAGGCATTTCTGCTTTTAAGAAAAAAATTGTATTAAAATGGCATATATAAGTATATATATAATCACTTGCCAGAGCCTCAGATAACAAAGCTTATACTATATCTTCTTACCCTTTCTGTTTTATCTGCACAGAAGAGTCGTGTGTGATGTCTTTTTTGCACCACAATATATGTTATTCCTGGCCGGTAATCTTCTTCCAAGCTAATACATGCCTTTCGAATTGCTATTAGTTCTGGCCAAGCTACCTAGAAGACAGAAATGGAATTATGTTTAATTGAGAATTTGCCTAGTATCTCTCAGATCTACTCAGAATGGCAGATGAGAGGAATCTCCCTCAGACTTCTAGGGGTCCCGAAGGGCAATAGGGATAATAAGAGTACCTGCTTCATTTGTCCCTCAGATACCCCTCCACGGTAATAGATTATCCGAGTGGGTTTGAAGCGTGTGGATTTGTAGAACTGAATCAGCAGCTCTCGAACCATGTTAGTCAGGTCCTGGATGACCTCTTGACTGTAGAGGAGCTCTTGGGAGATCTCCTGCCGGGAAGTCTGCACCCGAACGGTGGCACAATACCGGCTGGGGTGGCCATCCATACTGCCAACCACAGCAGCAATGGAAGGCTTCTTCCCATCCCCTGCTGGGGGGTGTGTGACATCCGCTCCCAGGAAGATGACAGGCTGCTGGAACACCGAGGGCCTGCTCAGATTTAAGGAGATGTTGCCACTCAGACATATAAATGAAAATGTCTGAGTTTAGCAAGATTATATCACCAGATATAATCAGATATAACCTTATAAGAGAGAACAAAGACTTAAGCCCATTGGGAAAGAACACTACGGACCACTGAATATTGATGTCACCCAGTACAGTGACTCTGGACTGACTGAAGAAGTGAGCACGGCTCTTCTATAAGAGTAGGAAGAGAAGATTGAAAAAACAGGACCTAGGCTGGGCACCGTGGCTCATACTTATAATCTCAGCACTTTGGAAGGCCAAGCAGGAAGGACTGCTTAAGCCCAGAAGTTCAAGGCCAGCCTGGGCAACATATCAAGACCCAGGTCTCTATAAAAAATAAGAAAGCCCAGCGGGGCAACACCTGCCTATAGTCCCAGTTACTTGGGAGGCTGAGGCAGAAAAATCATTTAAGGCCAGGAGTTTGAGGCTGCAGTAAGTTATGTACTATATACTCCACCGTACTGTGTCACATCACTGTACTACAGCCTGGGTGACAGAGCAAGACCTTGTCTTTAAAAAAAAGAAAAAAGGCCGGGCGCGGTGGCTCACGCCTGTAATCCCAGCACTTTGGGAGGCCGAGGCGGGCGGATCATGAGGTCAGGAGATCGAGACCATCCTGGCCAATATGGTGAAACCCCGTCTCTACTAAAAAAAAGAAAAAAGGCCGGGCGCGGTGGCTCACGCCTGTAATCCCAGCACTTTGGGAGGCCGAGGCAGGAGGATCACCTGAGGTCAGGAGTTGGAGACCAGCCTGGCCAAAATAGAGAAACCCTGTCTCTACTAAAAAATACAAAAATGAGCCAGGTGTGGTGGTGTGTGCCTGTAATCCCAGCTACTTGGAAGGTGGAGGCAGGAAAATCACTTGAACCCAGGAGGTGGAGGTTGCAGTGAGCCAGGATCACGCCACTACACTCCAGCCTGGGTGACAAAGTAAGACTCCACCTCAAAACAAAACAAAACAATATCCTTTTTTATTTTTTTTTTGAGACAGGGTCTCACTCTGTTGCCCAGGCTGGAGTGCAGTGGCATGATCTCAGCTCACTGCAGCCTCAACCTCCCGGACTCAGGTGATTCTCCCACTTCAGCCTCCCAGGTAACTGGGATAAATTCTTAAAGGTAGGATTTGGGACTGTGAGTGTTAATTCTTCAAGTGTAATTTAAGAGGCATCCCATACTTGACAATCTCATATAACAGGTACTAAAGGTGAGGTCCCATGGGAGAAGAGGCTGTGTCCCATTTATCTCTCTGTATTATCACAGAACATAAGCCTGGCACAGAGAAGTTAATAACAGTGGACATATATAGGCAACATACATATACATAACAGCTTACATATACAATGTATCAGCCACTATGCTAAGCACTTCACATGTGTTAACTCATTTAGTCCTTACGATTTTATGAGGGTGGTACAATTATTATCTCAATTTTTCCAGATAAAAAATAAGACATAAGAGGATAAAGAATGTTCCCAAGATCACACAGCTAGGAGTGGAAAAGCTGGAATCCCAACCCAAGAAGTCTAACGCCAAAGTATGCACTCTAAGCCACTACACTATATTGTCTCAAATGTTTGGGGTAAAATTTTTTTTTTTTTTTTTTTTTTTGAGACGGAGTCTCGCTCTGTCGCCCAGGCTGGAGTGCAGTGGCATGATCTCGGCTCACTGCAAGCTCCGCCTCCCGGGTTCACGCCATTCTCCTGCCTCAGCCTCCTGAGTAGCTGGGACTACAGGCGCCCGCCACCGCGCCCGGCTAATTTTTTGTATTTTTAATAGAGACGGGGTTTCACCATGGTCTCGATCTCCTGACCTTGTGATCCACCCGCCTCGGCCTCCCAAAGTGCTGGGATTACAGGCGTGAGCCACCGCGCCCGGCCTGTTTGGGGTAAAATTAAATGAAGACAGACTTTAGGTTAACTTCCCCTATGTCCCATATATCTCATCACTAATGTTTAAGGAGGGATTTATTTACCTAGAAGTTTCATTCAAGGACAAAAATGAAAACTGTGTTGGGAGGCTGAGTGGGTGGATTGCTTGAACTCAGGAGTTTGAGACCAATGTGGGCAACATGGAGAAACCTCGTCTGTACCAAAAATACAAAAAATAAGCTGGGCACGGTGGTGCACGCCTGTGGTCCCAGCTAGCTGGGAGGCTGAGGTGGGAAGATTGCTTGAGCTCGGGAGGCGGAGTTTGCAGTGAGCCAAGATTGTGCCACTGCAGTCCAGCCTGGGTGACAAGGTGAGACCCTGTCTCAAAAAAATAAATAAATAAATAAGAAACAAGAAATCAATTAATCAAGTTGACAAAATATGATAAGATTAAATTTTAAAAAAAGAAAGAATTGTGATATGATTGTATAAGAGCAAGGCACTCAATTTCATCGTCAAGTATGGCAATGACTAACACCACAGCCCCAAATTTAACTCTTCAAATCACTTTCACACATAGGATTTCACAGAGAAACAACACTTTCAAGTTAACAAGGCAGATATTATTATCTTGATAGATAAGGAACTGAGGCCCAGAGATACTAGAAATTCACATGAGTAACAATGCTCAAATCTCCCAATTTCCAGCCAGCATATCCCTGTCTTGCCTTGGTGTTTGTTTACTCTAGAGTCAATCTGACAAACTCAAATTTAAACAAACAAACAAAACCTATGAAGGGAGGGGCAGACAGGGTTTCTTAAAAGAACATAAAAAGATTGATTCAACTCAGTCCTATTAACATTTTCTGTTCATCAAAAAGCCACTGTTGACCAGGCATGGTGGCTCACACCTATAAATCCAACACTTTGAGAGGCCGAGGTAGAAGGATCGCTTAAGCCTAGGAGTTCAAGACCAGCCTGGACAACATAGCAAGACCTCATCTCTAAAAAAAATTTAAGGCCAGGCATAGTGGCTCATGCCTATAATCCCAGCACTTTGGGAGGCCAAGGTGGGCCGATCGCTTGAGGTCAGGAGTTCAAGACCACCAGCCTGGCCAACAAGGTAAAGCCCTATCTCTACTAAAAATACAAAAATTAGCCAGGTATGGTGGTGTACGCCTGTAATTCCAGCTACTTGGGAGGCTGAGGCACGAGAATTGTTTGAACCCAGGAGGCGGAGGTTGCAGTGAGCCAAGATTGCATCACTGTACTTCAGCCTGGGTGACAGAGCGAGACTCTGTCTCAATAAATAAATAAATAAATAAATAAATAAATAGGCAGGCATGGTGGCACATTCCTGTAGTCCCAGCTACTCAGGAGACTGAAGTGGGAGAATCGCTTGAGCTGGGGAGATGGAGGCTGCAGTGAGTCATGATTGCCTCACTGTGCTCCAGCCTGGGTGACAGAGTGAGATCTTGTCTTAAAAAGAAAAAACAGAAAACCCACAATGTATGAGAGTGAAAAGGCAAAACACAGACTAGGACAAGATAATCTGCCTATCCTGTTTGCCTATAGGATATCTGTATCTTGTGAAGGACCAGAAATCACAAAGAACTACTACAAATTAATAAAAAAGACTCACAACCCAATATAAAAAAATGAGCAAAGGACTGAACAGGTCCATTATAAAAGAAGATGTTCAGGCTAGGCATGGTGGCTCATGCCTGTAATCCCAGCACTTTGGGAGGCTGAGGCAGGAGGATTGTTTGAGCTCAAGAGTTCTAGACCAGCCTGGGCAACAGGACAAAACCCTATCTCTACAAAAAATAAAAACATTAGCTGAGCATGGTGGTATGAGCCTGTAGTCCCAGCTACGTGGGAGGCTGGGGTGGGAGGATCAGTTGAAGGCCAGGAGTTTGAGTCTTCAGTGAGCCATGATCACATCACTGCACTCCAGCCTGGAAGACAGATACCTTGTCCCAGAAAACAAAACAGGCCAGGTGCGGTGGCTTACGCCTGTAATCTCAGCACTTTGGGAGGCTGAGGCAGGCGGATCACTTGAGGTCAGGAGTTCGTGTCCAGTCTGGTCAACATGGTGAAACCCTGTCTCTACTAAAAATACAAAAAAAGTAGTGGGGCATGGTAGTGTGCACCTGTAATCCTAGCTACTCAAGAAGCTGAGGTGGGAGCATTGGTTGAACCTGGGAGGTGGAGGCTGCAGTGAGCCAAGATCATGCCATTGCACTCCAGCCTGAGTGACAGAGTGAGACTCCATCTCAAAACAAAATGAAACAAAAAAAAACAAATGAAGATGTCCAAATGGCTAATGAGCATATGGAAATGTGCTTAACATCATTACTCATTAAGGGAATACAAATTAAAACTATAATGAGATACTATTATCCCCAACCAAAATGGCTAAAATTAAAAGGACTGATACTACCAAGTGTTGGTAAGAATATAGAGCAACTAGAACTCTCAGTGTAAGTGTAAACTGGTACAACCACTTTGGAAAACTATTTGACTATATCTATTAATAGTAAACATATGTATTCTCTGTAACTCAGTAATTACACTCCTGGAATTCCACACAAGAGAAAGAGTATTTCAGTTCACCAAAAATGTAGAATTGTATAATGAATGTAGAAAAATATCCATCAATAGTAGAATAAATTAAAATTGTGTGGTTTATTCATGTAATGAAATAATACACAACAATGAAAAAGAATAAACTACTCCTAAGTGCAACAACACAAATGAATCTCACAGACATAATGTTGAGCAAAAGAAGACCGACACAAAATAGTACATACTGTATGATTCCATTTATATGAAGCTCAAAAATGGGCAAAAGTAATCTAGATAACTGACAGACATCAGAATGGTGGTCACTTGTGGGGGTTATCTATTTGGAGGGGCCATAAGGAAGTCTGATGGGGTGCTGGAAATGTTCTATATCTTTATTTGGGTGTTGGGTATATGGGTGCATATATATACAAGAGAAAAGGTAACCTAGATGCATATATATTTGTGTGTTTTCCTGTAAATTATGTAAGTTAGATCTTAAACAAAAGTGGGGAAAGCATTCAGAATCTTACCTTTGATGAGGCACAAGCACATTGTTAATTCCTCCAAGTTTTGCATTTATCTTCAGGCAAAGATTGGAAAGGGTTTGAGGTGAGGTCTTCACTACATTTTTTACTTGGACACACTGTGTGGCCATACCTAGAAGGGTATCTCCAACACGTTTCACCTCCGCTACAAAAATAATTTATTAATTTTAACATGTTTAAATGGTCTCTTAATTACTAAAAGCAAAAGGAAAAAAACCCCACACATTAACTTTATAACCTACTATATACTGTACACTGTGCTAGATGCTTCTCATGTATCTTCCTTATATTTGCTAAACCCCCAGGGCAATTTTTCCCCGTGTTTGGATAGGCCCTCCCTTCTCTCCTTTTTTCCCTCCTGCAGGCCCTGCAGCCAGCCTGCTTCCTTTATTCTCTGTACTGCCTGCCATGACTTGCTCAGCTCCTTGATGCACCTCTTCCCACATGACTGATTTAGCAAAAGAATCAATCTGCCCAGCTCCTCCCTCTCAGTACACACACCGGCCCTTTGAATTTTATTTTATTTTGTTTTTTTGCTTTTTTTTTTTCTTTAAGTACTAGAGATAACTGTAGAGAGAAGGTTAAAGACATTTTATAAAGTTTAAAACTGGGGCCAGGCACAGTGGTTCACACCTGTAATCCCAGCACTTTGGGAGGCCAAGGCGGGTGAATCACTTGAGATCAGGAGTTCAAGACCAGGCTGGCCAACATGGTGAAACCCCATCTCTACTAAAAATACAAAAATTAGCTGGGTGTGGTGGCATGCGCCTGTAGTCCCAGCTACTTGGGGGGCTGAGGCAGGAGAATCACTTGAACCCAAGAGGCAGAGGCTGCAGTTAGTCAAGATCGTGCCACTGCAATACAGCCTGGATGACAGAGCAGGACGCTGCCTCAAAAAAAAAAAAAAAAAGTTTAAAACTGGCTGGGCGTGCTGGCCCATGCCTGTAATCCCAATGCTTTGGGAAGCCAAGGCAGGTGGATGGCTTGAGCCCAGGAGTTCAAGACCATGCTGGGCAACATGACAAAACCCTGTCTCTACAAAAAATACAAAAAGTAGCTAGGCGTGGTGGTGGGCACCTGTACTCCCAGCTACTTGGGAGCCTGAGATGGGAGAATCACTTGAGCCCGGGATTCTGAGGCTGAGATAAGCGGTGATCATGACACCGCACTCCAGCCTGGGTGACAGAGCTGAGATCCTGTCTCAACAACAATAATAGTTCCTACATCCCTTACTTAAATGATAGCCAAAATAACTTTGTATCATTCTTCTTATAATAGATACAAACTAAGCAAATCCTCTTCTGGAAGTGGCACTCTTCCTCACTCTCATATTCCTAAGTGCTTTTCACCAAATATTTCCAGTTCTCTCAGCTTCCAGGACTATGGTAGTATCACACTACATTCTCAACCCCCATCCCCACTGCTCCCACGCAAGTTGGGTAAGGCCATATGGCTGGTTGTGGCCAAGGAGTTGCAGAGAGAAAAAAGAATGTGTGGCCAGCAACACTCTAAATAGCAGCTGCTCTGCCAAGCTGGGTCCCCAAGTGGAGATGACATGATGACACAGAGCAGAGGCGGCAGTCTACCTTCAGTGGATGCATAACAGGAGCAAGAAACAAATCTTTGTTGTTGTGAACCACTGAGAGTTTGAGGTTTGTGACTGCAGCATAACCTAGCTTATCCTGACTGTTGTATCTACTGCTTGAAATCATCCCTCATTCAGCATTAAAAGGGTCCATACCATATACTGGTGTCTTTCCAGGCAGGATAACCACTATTAGCTGTAGGCCCACATAAGTCATTTTCAGATGTTTAAACATAGGCTCCACACTGTCTGCACCTTGTGCATACTTGCAGAAGCATGGCTGACCCTGGATGGGCATTCCTGCATCCTTAGAGATTTTACGCAGTTGGTCAGTGAAACTCCTGTTAAAATAGAACCAGTAGCACAGTTTTTTCATTTCAGAGTACATTTCTAGCATTCGTTTTCCTCTGAAATACTTCCTTCAGTTTTGTAAATTCTTAGCCAAATTTAGAAATGAACAAATAAATAAAAATCTTTAACTGGTTGCCGAAAATGGACTGGCAATTGCAATTAAACTTGTGATTTAAGTTGCAATTAAACAGAAAAGAATCTGTATTACTAAGCTATCAGATTATCAATTGAAATTTTTAAATAATTATGCCCAGCTGAACTAGAATAGCACTACTGTTTAAAGATCTTTTAAACATTCAAATCAATATTCCAGACTGAAGAAAAGCAGGGTCAAAATTTCAGGTAACATGCATTTTGGTAAGCCTGGTACAGAAATAGCTGGGTAAGCCTGTACTCAACTGAGAACACAGAAACATGCTGTTACAAAATCAGTGTATTTAGCACTACATTCAAACTTGGAACAGATTTGGTTCAATAAAAATATCAAAAGAAATCGTCACTTAAAAAAAGCAAAATTCACTTTGAAGTTTTAAATTTTAGATTTAAGAAGTTACTTCAATCTATGTATAAAGCTTTCAGAACATTCCTTTGGTGCATTTGCCAATATTTTGTAGAATTCCTTTCTTTCACTCTAGTTCCCTTTTCTTAAATTTTTTTCACTCTTCTCACTTTTTTTTTTTTTTTTTGAGATGGAGTCTTGCTCTGTCTCCAGGCTGGAGTGCAGTGGCAAGATCTCGGCTCACTGCAACCTCTGCCTCCTGGATTCAAGCGATTCCCCTGCCTCAGCCTCCCCAGTAGCTGGGACTACAGGCGCACACCACCATGCCTGGTTAATTTTTTGTATTTTAGTAGAGACGGGGTTTCACCACATTGGCCAGGATGGTCTTGATCTCCTGACCTCATGATCTGCCCACCTCGGCCTCCCAAAGTGCTGGGATCACAGGTGTGAGCCACTGCGCCCAGCCACTAACTACTACTTTTATATAGATAGCTGCATCTGTAAGATGTGAACCTACTCTTACCTAGAGACCTTGTAATAAAACAAGCTCATTAGTAAATTTTAATGATTAAAACTAAGGTAGTTTTTAATTTTAGCTGAAAAGATACAATTAATACCAAAGGAAGCTTCAATAAGAACTCAAGAATTTGCCAACCAACATTGCCTCCGCCTTGTTACTCAAATATTTTTGCTCTACATGTAAGGAAGCTGAGTCAGATTCTTAATGTAATTCCCAAGTTTGCAAATTACTATAATACAAGGTCTTTTTCGTATAGCCAGATGGTGTCACTATGGGAGTCAGGGATTTAGTGCCAGTGTACACAGCACATTCACATAAAGACAGTATTTTCATATCTGGAAGGGATATTACTAAGCTGAAAATATGAAGATACTCACTTTAGTAAATCTTCCCTACATTGTTTCTGAGGTGCAAAACAAGCAACTGCCCAAACTTTAATTTCAATGCCAGCATAAAACTGCTTTCCTCGCATGTCCCAGACACCCTGGTTGGGTGTGGCTACTGTTTTATTCTTTGAAAAAAAAAAAAAAAAAGAAGAAGAAGAAGAAGAAACAAAAGAAAAGAGAAAAGACATTACAATCTAAGGCCATTTTACTGTTGATGAGTGAATAAACAAAATTCTATTAGGTATGAGCCAGAATACAAAAGGCAATAATGAATAAAACTATGGGTAAATTTAGTAGTGGCAGAGTAGAAAAACCTTGGATGATTCTCTTTTTGACTGGTTGTGGAAGAAGCTTGCTGAATAAAATAAAAAGCTTACCCGGCCTCCATATTGCAGCATTGGTGCTGGAAGTACCCTGCCTGTGAGCTCTGTCATTTCATTGTGGACAACAATACCAAATTCTTTAAGGTATGGATCAGGTCCACCCACCATACTGTTGCTCTTCACCTAAAGAACAGGAAAGCCTGCATATATAAAAACCAGAGAGTAACTGTGTCCCAGGAGGAGTTTTCTATTCTTTTGTTTCTTGTTATCTCAAAGCTAGCTCATCTTGAAGACCATGCCTTACTGACCAGTCTACTGATCTCTTCCTGTCTGTCAGGAGCAGATCTTGCTGTAGCTTTGATCATTGTGGAAGTCTGATTGTCTGTGAGCTTCTTGATACATCGCTGTCCTGCCACTATATTACAGACCTGCCAAGAGACAAAGAGAGATTGGTTTGTGTAAAGGGTTCTACATCTTAAACCTTTGCTAAACCGTATCTCACATCCTCCATTTCCAAAAAAATTAAAATTTGGTTATATAGTGAAATCATTTGCCAAAAATATTTTAGAAATTAACACTAAATTTCACCACTAGTTTAGAACTCTACTTAAAAATATATACTCATTCAAGAGATCAGCAAATTGGCAAAAGAAAATTTAACTTACCTCAAGTGGCAAGTATGTATGCTTTTGTTCTTGTCCCACTTGGAGACAGGGAAGATGGGGGTATTTCAGCTGCAGACTATACTTTTGCTTAAAATATTGAGCTACTGTACATTCCATAGCTTGACCGTTTTCTAGCTGCAAAGGAAAACTATAGGAGAGAATGTCTTTTTTAGAATATTTCTTCAAGTTCTTTCTTTTCTTCTATTTTCTTTTTCTTTCTCTGTTTTTTTTTGTTTGTTTGTTTTTGGGTTTTATTTTTTTTTTTGAGACAGAGTCTTACTCTGTCGCCCAGGCTGGAGTGCATGGCATGATCTCAGCTCACTGCAACCTCCACCTCCCAGGTTCAATGGATTCTCATGCCTCATCTTCCCAAACAGCTGGGATTACAGGCATGTGCTACCATGCCCAGCTAATTTTTGTATTTTTAGTAGAGATGGGGTTTCACCACATTGTCCAGGCTGGTCTCGAACTCCTGACCTCAAGTGATCCACCCACCTCGGCCTCCCAAAGTGCTGGGATTACAGGCGTGAGCCACTATGCCCAGCCAAATTCTTTCTTTTCTAAACAATAAACAAACAAAGCCCACTAATAATTCCTACCTTCATTAGTCACGTAAAAAACAAAGGTCAATTTTTTTTTATTTTGAGACAGAGACTCCCTCTGTTGTCCAGGCTGGAGTGCAATGGCACCATCTTGGTTCACTGCAATCTCCGCCTCCCAGGTTCAAGCGGTTCTCCTGCCTCAGCCTCCCGAGTAGCTGGGATTACAAGTGCATACCACCACCTGTAATTTTTGTATTTTTAGTAGAGACGAGGTTTCACCATGTTGGCCAGGCTGGTCTCGAACTCCTGACCTCAAGTGATCTGCCCACCTCAGCCTCCCAAAGTACTGGGATCACAGGCGTGAGCCACTGTGCCCAGCGAAATTCTATCTTTTCTAAACAATAAACAAACAAAGCCCAGTAATAATTCCTATCTTCATCAGTCACTTAAAAAACAAAGGTCGATCTTTTTTTTTTGAGACAGAGACTCCCTCTGTTTTCCAGGCTGGAGTGCAATGGCACCATCTTGGTTCACTGCAATCTCCGCCTCCCAGGTTCAAGCAGTTCTCCTGCCCCAGCCTCCCGAGTAGCTGGGATTACAGGCGTCTGCCACCACGCCTGCCACCATGATCAGCTAATTTCTGTATATTTAGTACAGACAGAGTTTCACCATGTTGGCCAGGCTAGTTTTGAACTCCTGACCTCCAGTGATCTGCCTGCCTCGGCCTCCCAAAATGCTGGGATTTAGAGGCATGAGTCACCGTGCCCAGCCTGTTAATCTTGCTTTCTTAACTGCCACAGCATTACAAAGTAATGGTGCAGTAAGGGTCATCTATGTGATATTTAAATATATGAGTTATAATCTTTCAGCAAAGATTACATACGTCTATAGGTCTAATTATTCTGACAGGGTTATGTGAAATAATTAAATAATGAAAAGAACAAAATGCTACAATTCTCAACAGTGACTTCATAAGGTTTTGGCAACTTTTTTTTTCTGAGAAAGAAGTCAATGGTATAATATAAATAATACATGAAATACCACTTTACTACTCTTAAGAAATTCATGTAGTGTGTACATGAGGTCATACTGAAGAATTTATTCAAATCAGACTGAAATAATACACTTTATTTCTCCAGAAGCCACCTGAAAATTTCACCTATCTAGACAAAGCCCTCTGGGTGATTTTGATATGCACTAAAGTTTGAAAATTAAGAATCATGAATCTAAAACAAAGTCAGACTAGAATATAAGCAAAAAAAGGTGCGTGTGGGGGGGGGGGCTCTGAGTAACCAAAATAATGTAAATGTAGTAAAGTGTATACTGTATATTTAACTCTTTATTTAGAAGAGCCAATATTTATGTTTATGTCAGACATGATCTTGATTACAAGAATAAGATACAGATATAATTTTTAAAGCACTTTCACATATAGGGTCTCACTGAGGCACAGTTTTCAGTAGATTAGAAGTGTTGGGTGATGGGCCGGGCACAGTGGCTCACATCTGTAATCCCGGCACTTTGGGAGGCCAAGGCGGGTAGATTGCCTGAGGTCAGGAGTTCAAGACCAGCCTGGCCAACATAGAGAAACCCCGTCTCTACCAAAAATACAAAAAAGTAGCTGGGCATGGTGGCAGGTGCCTGTAATCCCAGCTACTCGGGAGGCTGAGGCAGGAGAATCACTTGAATCCAGGAGGCAGAGGTTCAGAGAGCAGAGATCGCGACACTGCATCCCATGCTGGGCAACAAGAGCAAAACTCCATCTCAAAGAAAAAAAAAGCCAAAAAAAAACAAGAAGTGTTGGGTGATTAGGAAAATGAGATTGGGGAAATGGAAAGGAGTATGCTGCTGGAAGATGCCATAGACACCAACAGCTATAAGAAGTGACAGCTACCTACAAAGGGAGGGAGAGAAATCCACACAAAACACAAAGCAATAGATGTCTTCTCCCAGTCTGGCAACAAAGTGGGACCCCATTCCTATTAAAAATACAAAAATTAGCCAGGTGTGGTGGCACATGCCTGTAGTCCCAGATACTCAGGAGGCTGACATAGGAGGATTGCTTGAGCCCAGGAAGTTGCAGCTGCAGTGGGCCATGATGGTGGCAAGCACTATATATATACGTGAGTGCGTATTTTTTTAGAAGATACTTATATATATATAAAATGTCTTATCATATATTTTATTTATTTTTATATATATATATGTCTTCTCCTGACAGCCTTATATGATATCTAGGCCTTAATAGATCTTTTGGGCCATGTATTAAGAATTACAACAGTAGGCTGGGTATGCTGGTTCACACCTGTAGTACCAGTACTTTGGGAGGCCAAGACAGGCAAACCATTTAAGCCCAGGAATTCAAGACCAGACTGGGCAACATAGCGAAACCCCACCTCTACAAAAAAAATTAGGCGAGTGTGGTGGTGCACGCCTGTAATCCCACTACTTGGAAGTCTGAGGTGGGAGGTTCACTTGAGCCTAGGAGGCGACAGAGTGAGATCTTGTCTTCAAAAGAAAAAAAAAAAAAGAATGACAACAATATAATAAAAAAAGCTTATAATGACTCTGCATCATTAAATAAAAACATAGATTAAATAAACGTTAATCTATGTTTAACGTATTCTACTTAAGAGGTACATTGAATTAAAGGCAAGGAATGTGTTTTATAAATATCTCTACCAAAAATATTCAGAAAATGTTTTAAAACTTTCGTGTTAAAATCAAAGATTCTGGTGATCTTGAAAATTTCAGTATGAAATAACCAATTTCTTTCTTTTTTTCTTTTGAGATGGAGTTTCACTCTGTCACCCAGGCTGGAGTGCAATGGCGTGATCTCGGCTCACTGCAAACTCCACCTCCCAGGTTCAAGCGATTCTCTTGCCCTAGCTTCCCAAGTAGCTGGGATTATAGGCACCTGCCACCAAGCCTGGCTAATTTTGTAGTTTTTAGCAGAGACAGGGTTTCAGCATGTTGGCCAGGCTGGTCTTGAACTCCTCACCTCAGGTGATCCACCTGGCTCGGCCTCCCAAAGTGCTGGGATAACAGGTGTGAGCCACTGCGCCCGGCCAAGATAACCAATTTCTTTTCTTTTCTTTTTTTTTTTTTTTGAGACACAGTCTCGCTCTGTTGCCCAGACTGGAGTGCAGTGACATGACCTCGGCTCACTGTAACCTCTGCCTCCCAGGTTCAAACAATTCTCTGTCTCAGCCTCCCAAGTATCTGGGATTGCAGGTGCCTGCCACCACACCTGGCCAATTTTTTTTGTATTTTTAGTAGAGACGAGGTTTCACCATCTTGGCCAGGCTCGTCTTGAACTCCTGACCTCGTGATCCACCCACCTCAGCCTCTCAAAGTGCTGGGATTACAGGTGTGAGCCACTGCGCCCAGCCAATAACCAATTTCTTAAACGATTACAGTAGCTCCATTACTAAAAATGTAATTGTATTATTTTAGATATGGTTAACATACGTTTGATGACTGGCTGGCCGTCTAGTCACATTACAAACTCGGTATTTTCGTTTCATCTGTCCGCAGTGGGTCACCTCAACTTTGAGACCTGAAATTTTTTTTAAAAGGCAAAACATCAGTTAATTAAAATCATAGTGACAAAAACAGATTCAAATGTTGTCTTCAAAATGTCATGACATTGTACAGGATAAAAATTCCAAGAATATGGGGACAATTTCATCGTTATAGGCAAAAAACCTGAGCTAAGCAGAATAAATTAGAACTCAGATGACCTAAGATGCTCAATCTACTTTAGTTTATTATTTCATCCAATAAATATTTATTAAGCATCAACTATGTTCTGACACTTATTTTCAGGTCTGGAGACAGCTTCATGAAGTTTATGTTCTAGTGAGGGAAGCTAACTAATAACAAGTAAAGAAGAAAAGAAATTCCAGAAGGGTAATAAATGAATTTATGTTATTTTATTAAAATGGAAGTTTTTAAGTGTGTAAGGGTAGCATTTACTGAGTGCCTGATATGTGACAGGTACTATGCTAGAAAGCTTTATAAACCTAATTGCATTTAATTCTCACAACAACTCTACAAGGTATATATTATTATCTTTACCTTAGAGATGAATACACTAAGGTTCACAGTGGTTAAGGAACTTGACCAAGGTCCCACTGATAGAACTGATTGGCCTGAGACCGAAGCCCAGGTCTGTGTGACTCCAGAGCACAGGCTCCTTGCAGCATGCTGAGCTGCTTCTCCAAGACTACATTAATGCAAACACTTACCTCTGATTTCTTTGGTAAACTTGACACGCTGGGAGTCTGTTAGAGGTTTGGTCTGTTCATTGATGTTCTGAATGTCTAAAACCTCACACATGAACTCAATGATAGGCTGAGCCCGGTAGAAAGCAGTTGCAGATACTAACAAACAGAGAAGGATGCTTAACTTCAGGTAAAAAGGAAGGGCCAAAACAAACAAACAAACAAAAACCAGCCCAAAGAGTTATTGGATAAAGAGAGTTCCATCCTACCATCAATGTTGAGCATCATATTCCACATGGCAGGTCTCACAGACTGATGAAAACCAAACCAGACCTCCCTTCCCCCTCCCAGAGGGTGGTAGTAACCTTCAGGGGGTGAGAAAAAGGAACGGCCCACTGGGGTGTACCTGAAGAAACAAGAGTTTGCATGTGTCATATTAAACATATGAAAGTTCCTTCATTTCACTCTCAACTCTGGGAGCTGAAATCAAATTTGAACTATGACTTACGTAGACATTTTTCAATGGCTCCAGTGCAATCTACCAAAAAAGTCTGACATTTGTAGGAAAATAATCCAAACCAAAGTACTAACCTCATGGAGGGAAGGTGTCTTGTGATAACATCGAGTGCTTGTACTGAGTCATCTGGGACTTCATTCAAGTGCCCAGCCAAAGCTTCTAAAAGCAACTGAAGGCTCACAACTGACACCCACTGAACAGACACTTTAAAGGTTTGGTCTTTACCTTCGCCTGGAAGAGTCACCTCCATATCAACCTAAGGAAAAAAACACATGAATACAAGCATAAATGTTTACAATGGCTGTGGGAAAGATCCCAAGAATATGCAGTATGATATACGCATAAGGATATTTCTTTTAACATTTTTTATAATTGCATAACATTGGAAACAACTTAAGTGTCCATGAGAAGGGGAATAATTTAATATGTAACATTATACAGTAGTGAAAAAACAAGGTAGATGTTACAACATGGATGAACCTTGAAAATATTATGCTAAATAAAACAAGCCAGGTACAAAAAGGCAAATATTTCATGATTCTATTTCTATGAAGTACATTGAATAGTCAAATTTAAAGAGATAGAAAGTAGAACAGTGGTTATCAGGGACCAGAGACAGTAGCGTATGGGGAATTATTGTTTAATAGGTACAGACTTTTTGTTCGGAATGATGAAAAAGTTCTGAAAATGCATAGTGATGATGGATGCACAACAATGTGAATGTACATAATGCAATTAAACTGTAACATAAAATCGTAATTTTTTTTGAGACAGGGTCCTGCTCTGTCATCCAAGCTGGAGTGTAGTGGTGCAATAATAACTAATTCTAGCCTCAAAGTCCTGGGCTCAAGGGATCCTCCCACATTAGCCTCCCGAGTAGCTGGAACTACAGGTGCACACCACCAGGCCTGGCTAATTAAAACAATTTTTTTTTTTTTTTTGTAGAGATGGGTCTCCCTGTGTTGCTCAGGCTGGTCTCAAACTACTGGCCTCAAGCAATCCTCCCACCTTGATCTCCCACAGCACTGGGATTTTTGGCTGGGTGAAGCACTACACCTAGCCAAAAATAGTAAATTTTATATTATATATTATTTTACAACAATAAAAAACAAATTTGAAAAAAATAAGGTAGATATAAATGTATAGAAATGGAAAGATCTTTCAGACATATTGTTAAATGAAAAGCAAATCCTAGAATGACATGCAAAACAGTAAGAATATGCATCAACATATGTATAAATAGCTAATATACATAACATATCTAAAAAGATACATACCAAACTACTATAGTAGTTTCCTTTGAAAAGGAAAATGGAAGTGAGGGTGCAGATAAGTGGGGGAGGCAGTAAATCACAGCATTTCTAGATTGTCTGGATAAGTTTATTATGAGCATATGTTCACACAGTACTTTTCTAATTTAAAAAAATAAACATTTAAAAAAGTATTGTGCTATTATAATCTATTTTCATAAGTGAGTATTATATAGTTTTCTATAATTTACAAAACCCTGTTGTTCAGATTCAGGTAGTTCTTTGTTAAAGCACATGGTTAATGTTAGAAATTATGTAAAGATGACATAATCCACCTAAATCCTAATGCTCATCTCATTTTCAATTATCAGTTAACTGAGACAAGAGAATATGGACAGAATAACAAATCTATCATCACTATAAAAAACAACTCTGGCCGGGTACGGTGGCTCATGACTGTAATCCCAGCACTTTGGGAGGCTGAGACAGTGGATCACCTGGGGTCAGGAGTTTAACACCAGCCTGTTCAACATGGTGAAACCCCATCTGTACTATAAAAAAAAAAAAAAAAAAAAAAAAAAAAA